CGATCCAAAATATTCGGGGTGGAATTTTTGACCAATCAAATAATTCCGTGGTAGACAGCGAAATCGGCCGTTTACATCCATGACATCAGATTTAATGACTTTCTCAATGACAGTGATGCCATCCAGTCTGCTAAGCAAACTTGTCATGATTGACTTGTTCTCCAACCAAAAAAACTTCCAGCAATCTGCTAAGTCTGTTAATACAACAACCACCTGATAGTTTGAATGAATGTCTGCAACTACCAATTGAGCCATTGCCTGCAGAGAATGGGAATCCTCCACTTGTTTCTTCAGCTCAAAAAGGAAACGCAAACCTGCACTATACAGTGCATTACGAATGTAAGGTCGATCAATGATTGCCACATCTGCAGTTCCTTTCACTTGAAAGGGGAGGTAGGGACTTTCAATCACATCAAGGAGATGATTCTTCTTTGCCACATCATACCATTCCACTTCGCGAGGAAGAGAAATATTTTGTCGTAACCATGGCAGATAGCGATCTGATTGCTCCTTTTCTACTCGATCATCCCATTTGAAGGCATCAATATCTTTCAACCCAGAAATGTCAACGTCAAACTCTATCGCTTTTTTTGCAATTCCCAGGTGATTTTCGAGCTGCTGCCAGTGTTTCTTATCAATGGTCGACAGGGAGACACCACTTGACAAGTCTTTGCACATCTCTAACAAGTAGCTACATATTAAATTATGCACTGGAAAAAATGATAGTATGACAACTTACCTTGAAGGGTCATACTCATCTGTTCAATTTTGTGTTCAATTTTGGGTTGAGAGTCTAATAGGAGTTAAGAAAGTACATATACAGGTAAACAATACAAATAACATCTTGTAATGAATCTTAAAGATAGATTCCCCACTAATACTAATCGGGCATACCTTTAACCGTTTCATACAATTCATGCAACAACTCTGAATCATGTTTGCTAAGTTCGGCCTTGTCTAATAACATTGTTTATGGTAGATGTGGAGGACGGATCGATGAATGGACGGACGGAGAATAAGAGACAGTGAAAGATGAATAGAGTAGAAGATAACTCACCAGCTTTGAAGAAGCAATGCGTTGGAGGAGAAACAAAGGAGACAGTAAAAGATATGATAAATAGGAATAAAGATATGATGTGTGAACTGATGACTCCCAGAGTAACGCAAGCACTACACTTTTGCAATTTACCTGGCAGTGGCGGCGCTACGACCACGACGAAAGGACTACCGTATGTCTCGTCAATGGGAATTCTGGACAACTTTTGATAGGCTGGTAGCTCGTCTACCGGCAGGCCGCTCTCGTCCAATCGGCTGTAGACTTTCAACTCGGCAGAACCTATACCCTTAAGCACGCCGCGGAAGGCAACATCGGTGACAAGAGTCCGGCAAAGGTCGTCGATGTCAATGGCGTCCTCGGACACTCTGATCTTGCTAATGCTCAGGCCTGGATCTGTGAAAGAAGTGCCGTCCGAGGATCGCAGAAGCTTGATCCAGACAGCAATTATCGTAGCATCTTTGAATAGTCAAATGGAAGGATCAGTTAGAGGCGGGCCGGTTTACAGTATATAAGCGAGTGTCAAGATAAGAGTAGAGTGGGTTTAGGTCTATAATAAAAGAGGGGGGTACAGACTGAATCGTTAGCATCACAGAGAGCAGAGGTAGATCCACGAATGCTCTGCATAACAAAAGCGGGAGATACTAGTATGAGACCGAATCATTAGCATCACAGAGAGTGGAGAGAGAAGTAGATCCACGAATGCTCTGCATAATGAGAGAGTCGCGTTGATTCATACGGTACCCAGTTTGACTACAATAGCAGGTAAAATGTATGGAGCGGGTTCGTATGTGCCAGGTTTACGCTTCTAACTTTGGGACGCTGTGGAAGGAGAGAAAGGTTGTCCAATGCTATAGAGCTTACCTTGGGCGACTTGTTGGGACGCTCTTTCAGCATGCCTCGTAGTTGCTTTCTTTCTGGGAAACATTGCGTGGAGACAGCTCAAAGAGAAGAGGCGGAAGGGAAGTGCCGAAAACAACTGAGCAGTTGCGTGTGAATTTATGCGATCACGTTACTACAGCAGATATAATTTGAGCATGTGCCACTAAACAAAGCCTCGCCGAAATGTAGTTATAACGAAATGCGTTATAACGAATTTTTGTTATACCGAAGCAAGCGTTACTTTCCCTTTTTTTAAAATTTAATCGTTATTACGAATTTTAATAGTCAACCTCGTTATTCCGTTACCAAAGTTCGGTTGCAGGATTTTGTATATTGTACTAGTCGCTTTATAACGAAGTTTATCACGTGCTACAAAAAATTAGCATGGTGATTGGTTGTAGTAATTACGATTCATTAGTGTTGTGGTCATAAACAACGATATGGTCGCCACTGTCTTGACTAAAGATGCCATAACCGCTTTAAAACTAGTTTAAAAAGTACTAAATAATTGTCAAGCCATGATAGAAAAGAAAGAATTTAATTTAGAATGTCTTTCGTTCATTGAAAAGGAAGGTGGAATTACATAATGTTACAAGCAAAAGCAATCTAGAATATATTCTTTCTTCCTGTATATTTTGCAACTAATAAATATTGCTTACGAAAGCCTCGATATACCGAATATTACTTGATTCTAGGCTAGACTTTGTTACAAAGAGATGCTTTCGAGTTAGCTAAAAAATTTAGAACAAAAAGAATTCACGACAGAAAGGGATGTAAGATATATATGATTGATAATCATTGTGATGGAATAAACGTCTGTTGGCAAATGATTTGTAATTTGTGGAACTCGCACATGTTTCTAACCGATTTGCCGTAATCTTTTTTTGTTTTGTTTGTTAAATCAATCCCATGCATTTTTTTATGGCCAAATTAGATATCGTTATCGCACTTGCGCATACTGTTTATCAATATCATTCTTTCGTACGGTTATTTGCATTCTGTAGTAGCATTATACAGTAATCTTTTCTAAAATTATGTAAATACATTGCAATAGTAAAAATGATAAAATAAAACAAGAATTATAAGATTCGGTTAGAAAAGTGTCGAGATATGAATTTCTGAATTCTTATAGTCGGAAATCACGAGAAATATATAGTAATAGGTAAAACTTCGGTGTTTAAAACTTTTTCTGGAGACACCCGATCGGGCCGAAAATTTACAAGTGATTATGGTTTATTACACAGTATGCGCAAAAAGATTTTCAAGGCGCGTTTACTTGTTCCTGTTCCAAACTAGAAGCGGTCGGATACTTTTGCTCCCTACTGTAATAGAGTTGCAGATAAATTAGTTCAACAAATAACTCATAAAGTAGCCTCTCAACGAATAACAAAAGAAGCGCAGTAGGACATAGTATGAAAGTTGTTTGTGAAATTACGGAAGTAAATATATTTTTTCGAATGCGCGAGCGCAATATTATTATTCGGGGAACGTTACTTACCGGGTGTTGTTGTATGTCAGTTTGAAATAATATGTAGATTAGATAAAAATATTAAACAATGTGTATTTGTTCAAAATTGAATAATTAAAAACTGTCCTCGTAACTTGAACGTAATTCAACACTGAATTATTTTCTAGTTACATCACTGGACAATTATTCATACAATTTATGATGTCTTTCCACTAATACGCGAAATCAATTGTGGTATGCAGAAATGTGTGATTTTATTTGTCCAATGTAGATTTAATCATACGATTATAATTAGCAGTTTACGGTTAGATAGTAAATGTGGTCGATTTTGTCTCAATTTTACATCATTAGGAAAATTTATCCATTGCAAGAATCATGAACTGCCGACTAGTAAATCGTCTGATCTACAATATCAAACATGCGCTAAATCATATAAGTTTCTTAGATAGAATAGTAATTAGGTTGAATCGATACAGCAGGACATAATAATTTACTGCTTAATGTATAGCGAAAATTAACATTTTTATTTTACATTGGGGTCAGACATTGACCTGTAATATTATAACATGTTGTTTTCATGTAACAGTAACGTTTATCACTTAATTACAAATGGCAAGTTCATGGTCACGTAGTGGAAGAAGAGATCATCGGGTACTTTATGTCTCGGGACATCCACTTCCCGAACAAACGGCTAGTTCACATAATAACAATAACTATCGGGGAAAATATTCAAGCAAATTGCACCCTGCCATAAAGTGACTGACAATATTAATCAAACATGCAGAGAGACCGGTTATAGCTAGCGACTTGGCGTAGTCATCTTGACTATGGTTTACCGCTATCCAGGTCTCAACCCAAAACCAGATGCCAAATAACAAATTAAAAATAGCATATTCCAGATTTTGGAAAAGCAACTCGGGATCTATCCGAATACCTGACAGATCTACAGCAGCTCCAAATGGATCAGAATCAGGCCAGAATGAATTGACCAAAGTAAGGTAGTGTTCTTTTCCTGTTTATAAATATGTAAATACGATATATACTAGACTGGATCCTGCGCATTATATTAATTAAAAATACTGACGGTTACCTAAAAATATTCCTAGTAAGTGGATTATTGCATAAGATGTAGAAGCTTGTTTGGCTGTATAACCTATGGGCCACAGACGCCATAGAACTTCTATTATACACCACAAAATTAGATATCCACGCCTTTTCTCGTAATGGTTGGCATACTATAAATGGAATTTATGAAAGTGCATGTTAGAAGCATCAACGTCAACCTTGGCATTGACATTTTAGTTACGGTTCGATTGATACCACATATTACGACACCGATTGTCACTTACTCACTTACCATTATTAGTTGAATCAATACTATTATTACAGCTGACATTAATATGGCATTGACAATAAGAGCCAAATACGCAGTTATGAGGACATATTGCGAAACGTGGCCCGAATCTTTACAATTACTATATTCATTTGCTTCTCCGGTTTCTATAGTAGCAATAGCATTGTCTGTCGTGGCTGCATCACTCTCGCTTGATTCTATAACTATTGATAAATGGTAGAGATTGATTTCTTCAAACGTTGGCGGCGTGACTGAGGGACCATATTCGGTAGGTGGTGTTTTGGGGCGTGCTTGGGGTGTTGACATGTTAGAAAACTGGTAAGATATTTGATAAATTCCATGTTATATAACTAGGAATGAATCAGGTTTCTTGCGTATCCCGTTTAGTGGTAACAGTTGTGCAATGTGCATGTGTAATCGTCAATGAAAGACAAAAAAATTTGGTATACGAACTCGTTATACATTATATGCACGCCGGAATGTGTGCAACGGTTATTTCCACGTGACTATTGTACTAGTTGTGATTTTCAACTTTTACGAAAAAGATCATGGCTACCTCAAAGAAAAAACGTGCCATTCAGACAGAGCACTATTACGCATCCGTCAACAACCGCATCATTGTATGACCTTAGTTTAAAGGATTCTCATTTGACAAAGTACGAACTCAGCCTATTATTTTGCATTTTGCTATGCGAACTAAACGTCCTCATGTGGCGACAAAGTTGATCAATGAACAAACAGAATATTAAAGTTGAAAGCCAACAAACTAAACGAGTAGCTCCTTATACTATAAAATACATTTATTTCTTGGTAACTTATCAGTATAACCGAGAAATCGCTAATTCCTATATCGATGAAGAATAATTTGCTCCCTTGTCCGTGATTATTCGAGTGGCATTTTAGTTATTATTAATAATCGAAAGAAAGATTTGATATCGTATTTTGTAATAAATATTATGGTTGCAACAGTTAAAACAACTATTTAAGCATACATCGTGGTTATAGCTGTTAAATTATTAGAAAATTGTATGAAATCTCATTGTTAATATATATTAGAGAGAAAAAACTAGTATGATGCGACAAATAAGTATAGATAATATTTTGACCAATAAACGAATATTTACTATACTCTTCTTCCCTAAATGCACGCTCTCGCACTTTCGGTCCCAACGGCGCGCATTTAAGGAGTGTTTACTGTGCTGCAAACAGAAAATTTTACTATTACGTTATTATTATATGCTTTATTGAGGATAGATAAAACAAATGTTTAGATCGATCTTGAAATTTTTAATCGATAAATAAAAATTACGTTAGTCCATTGTTAATGAAACCGACACCAAATACGTCCTTGTCGCCGGCTAAGGCCATCCACTTCGACTGGATTTTTTTTTAATACACCCGCAACTACTCGCTTCTATCATAGGCAATTCACAAACTTATTTTTAATCGTTATCGAGTTGAACCACAAAATAAAGTTAAAAGCTGCACATTTTTACATCTGTTACTTGTCATGGTTACACTTACACGGATACTCACCGATATTTATACTAAAATGTTGTACCGTCCAGAATTATTTACATCGAATTAACATCAATTGCGAAAAAGAACCGCGAAGACGCAAATCAACAAAACAAGAGCAGTCAGTTCATTTTGCCTTAACAACTCACATGATGATATACGGTACTATTTAATAGTCTGATTTATACCTTTTTTTATATTATAATAAACACACGTCCATTCTGAATATAAAAAAACCATATAATCTTCTTACTGATAATAACGATAACACTTATTCGTTTCGATATACTGAGGCTGAGGGAAGTTTTTGTTTTCCGTATGTAGAGATAACATCCACCATTACTATACTATATATGGTAATGAATTACGTCTCAAGGTCTCGGGTTCTCAAGGTCTCGGGCTCTCAGGTCCTCGGGTTTGCGCGTCCGTTATCCGGTGAAAACATCGAATATGCAGTTCTGTATGAATAGACGTTTTACATTCCGAATAAAGAATTATTGGGTGTTGCAGATTGTAACACATATAAGTTTATTACTATTACGTATCGTTTACGTGATTAACAGAATTGAGCTGTTTCTCGCAATTTCTTAATGTAACACAATTATGTCACGGAACTTTGTGAGTATCAAGGAGAAGAGGTTTACATACTGCAGGGACTTGAAAAAAAAAACGTGCAGTGTGGCATTTACGGAATATTGACTATAGTATGGAGTAAGCATTCTGGCGACAAGTACAACTTTAATTCATAACAGCTTCAATCAATAATCGCATTTTTGTTTTTAGTCTATTTATTAAGCAATCGGTTCTTCACACGACCATATCAGTGGCTCGAAAGTTTAAGGACAAAAAAGGAAATAGTTTGTTAATTGACTAGATTAAATATTTAATATGACAAGGAAATATGGATTTTTTGATTGCAATTAAGGCATTAATTCCATTATAAGCATTTTATAATCGTAGCATTTTCATTGTTTCTGTATACCTTTATGAGTTGAAAGTTATCTTGCAAACCATTGGCACTTCCATTAAAAACCTGCATTTTTTAAGATTAAACAGCCATTATTTCAACTAAAAGGCAACAACAACAACAATAATTTCTCAACGTATGACAAACTTTTAATTCAGTAATAATACAATGAACTACGAATGTTGTGCGCGATTGTAGAAACGATACTATGGAGCAACTCCAGATGGACGCAGCTAACATTTACTTTATAAATGCAGCCTCTCCATGTCTTCTTTTCGCCATTGTCTAGCGATATACGCAAGCTTGAAGTACAACGTTAACAGCAAACTTCGTATTAAATTCTTTACAAAAATGGATGGTGACAAGATACTTTGGCTAACAATTAGATTGGCAGTACTTTTCGGCTATGCTATTGTTGCCGTAAGAAAAGAGAAAAGACGACGGTCACCGACACTGATAATAGTGTATCTGTTTAGACAATTATTTCTTGGAACCACCTAAACCTTCCACGTTGACAGTCAAATATTTGGTCCGAACCCAGAAAGGAAACCATGTTTTTTTCTTCTCAATAACTCTCATTTATTCTCCACTAAAACGACTATCCAAATTACAGTACGTAAGCTCAAAGTCAAGCAAATCCCAAACAAAAAGCAAAATTTAAACAAATTTAAACAAACACGGAACGATACAGAAATAATACTTTTACGTTTTATCGAAGCCATCAGAAAGCTGGAAATAATTCACATGACAATAACGAAGTTGTTAACCACTGTTCGACCACGGCTCTGAATTGGACAACTTGATGAAGAACAAATTAAGAACGGAAAATTACCAAATTATACTCGTTTTCTCGATGTCTCCGAGGACACTTTGATATTGTTTTGTATAATATATTATGTGACTACTACTGCTTTAATTCTGTAATTATGGTTGTCAAAGTCTCAATAGTTTTTTGTATGTCAGAATAAATATTACCAAGTACAATACAGAATTATAATCGATATTTATTAAAGTGTGATGACGTTGCTATAGGCGATGACGTATTCCTCTCTAGATTTCTGCGGCAATCGTTGGTATCACCAGGATTT